GACCGAAATTAGCTGTCGGTAACCTATCGACTACGGCGTCTTCTCGATGGCGCCGGCGATGGTAGCGACTGGAAGGTTGGCTAGCTGTTGATCTAGCTTGTTGCTGAAATGGAGATGGTGAGATAGCAAAGAAAACAATATACAGCTTACCTGGGATCGCTTACCTTGAGGTCTTCAGCGAGGTTTTGGACGAATCCACATCGTTGAGATGACGAGGCGATGGTCAGTCCACCCTTCAGCACGCAGGATCGCCTTTGTCCTCAGCACGTTCCGCTGCTCTCGCCTCCGGACGAGGACAAAGTCCGGCAGGTGTCAGTGTCTCGACCGAGGGTACATCCAGGTGGCATTCTCTCGCATCGAGAAACGAAAGAGGGTGTCCGTCAGGATGAGCCGGTGTTCTGAGCAGGTTGGTATGGGGGAAGGGGAGCAGTCCATTGTCGTCAAAGTCATCGAGACCGTGGGAATCAGCACTCCTCTCCAAGTAGCAAGGTCTGTGCCGACACGGGCACAACAACAATCAACTTTTCAACCTTCAGCGCGGCCGCCAGGATTGCGTGCAGGGTGTAAAATGTGTTCATCGCTTCGTCCGGACTGGTAATAAGAGGAGCGCAGACACTGAGGAGACTTCTTCGAGTTGGCAACTACGACTAAGCTGACAGGTCATCCGCGCAAACTACGTGTGACTGGTGTCCGGTTAGACACACGAAAGTTCCTCTTCTCCAACGGAGTAGTTGCAGCTTGGAATGCTTTGCCTGAGGATGTTGATATGCCGATATCCGTAGACACTTTTGAACGGAAGCTCGATCAACATTGGAGCATGCACCACAACAACGCCAGACTGCAGCCCCTTTGATAACCGACGTTGACAATTTACATTAATGAAGATGCTACTACCAAAATTCAAGTAGTATATATGCACGCAATACATTAATTTTGAACCTAGTCGCACACCACTGCTCGCATTTATCACGATGCCTGCTGACAAAAAATATTTACTTCTTTTCCTGTATCTTAAGTGCGCTTCAACTGTCTGCTGCATTTAATCAACAAACCGAGTTCATGTGTCTTCGAATGCTGTTAACGCATGAAATCCCGTGTTCCTCTGTACAGTTTTTGTTATTCCCCTTGTAATTCTTCCATGCTTCTTTCATTCCACTTTCACCATATACTTCATCTGCATGTAACCAATAGGGATTTCAAAGACACAAAGCTACTTCCCCTGAAATACACTGGTACTGATACTGACTCATCTCAAATTGACAGAGAGAAAAGCCACTGAGGATGAAAGACAGTAATTTAGCGCTCCAAATTTGCGGGTAATTAAAGGAAACAATAAACTTAGTGTCTCTATAATCACGCGTTCATCTCCTTTGCAACAAGCACCTGGGAATCGTATATTCGGTTCCATGCAGTGTTAGTCTCTGTCTGCACCGTATACCGTTGGTCCCTATTGGACATGAAAACGCGGTTTTATCAGCAGTGTGTGTTAGGTATTTGCACCTAACGAACAACTCCGCCGTAGAAAACCAATGGGGAATGCTGCTTATTTTTTAAAATTTTCAGTCACCCAGATTTTAACAGCAGAAACGCTTGATTGACTGATGCGATAAGAAGTTAAGAAATCTGTTTTCTGTCACGTTTACTGATTATTTTATTTTAATCCATATCTTTTTGTCAATCATAGAACTTTCTGTCTTGTTCGTCTGAAAAAAATATGCTTCTTGCCTGACAGGCAGCTACGTCGGAAGTAGGAGGACGTTGCTTTTTCAAATCGAAATACTTAAATTCACCGAACGCCTATTTGACTGCCACCTGGAAGATTTTCCTACAACAACGCCCATACGACCAAAGAATTTAAATTTCTAATTTATCATCTATGCTGTAAACCAATTAAGCATTACAGCTTTTAAATCTACTCAAAAAATAATCGCTAACTTGGAGTAAATAAATTCATTTGAAGACACAGGCTGAAATTTTTAATGAAGTGCACTTTTGGCTAGCACCTGTGTTGCGACGTATACTATGTCCTTTAACTTATGCGACCAAGAACTTTTCTGGCATGTCGCAAAATACAGAACGCTGTCCTTAGCTGCAGTCAGATGCAGTGGCCCATCGGCGATTAGGCAAGCTTCGTATCCCATGGCTCTCAGTGCATCACACCCGGAGGTCTCACAATTATCAGTTTTCACTGGAACCACTCCCGAATTCACTTACGTTTCTGCCTGACCAAGTACAATTTGAACAATGACGGGCAACCAGGAAGCTTCAGTGGCATATACCTCGCATACTGAGACATACTGTTAGAATGAAAAACTCTTGAATCTGGTGAAAGGCACAAATAAGAGCAACCAACATAGTGAACTTTCTCTCTCTCCAGGTAAACTCAGGCGAAGGAGTGGCGTTTGATGCTTTTTTAGACTTTGCAGTCCACCCAGCCCCTCCTATGTGCTCCATACTTTCACTTTTAATAAATGTTGTACGCTAGGCTCATGAGCTTCCTATGGATGACACAAATCTGCTATAGCGAAAACTGAACTTCCAGTGAGTTTGAGTTACAGGCTTTCCTTAAATAAATTCCGTAACATGCTAAATATTCTCCCATGCATTCGCTTTAACTGAGACGATCAATAAAGGTTGGCCAGACATAAAAATGGCAAAAAATTCTCGAATCAGAGCATAGGAAAGTTTAAGCCCTCCTCTATGAGAATGAGGCAACCTTATTTTCCTTGCACCTCCCCGTTTTTTTTATTACTAGACAACGATTTAAAAGATGAAGTTCGAATATCCCGTACAACTGCAATGCTCTCAAATGTTTTTGTTCAGTATGTTTCATCACTAGCACCAGCCGCATCTCATCCATTTGTGTCTGCGCGCAAACTGCGTTTACTTCCGAACCTTCCTTTTTATAAAACAAATATTTAATTTGTCGTCCGTCGGTTGCCATGGCGCTGACTGAATAATTAGGAGGGCGACGGTAAGGACTCTCCGTGCTTCTGGGTTCTAATTTGCCTGTGCACGCCAGAAATGCTGTCCGAAGAGGAAGAAGAAGTCAGATCATACAAATTCCTGACAAACGCTCAGTAGGTTTTTCCATTTTAGTAGTCTTGATATATCTACATCGGACATCCTTCGTTGTTTTAAAAGCCACTTCTGAAATTAGATGTTACGCAATTGGTGTTTACCCAACTGCTCTGGGGTTTGCATACTTACCGTACAGTACTGTTCTCAGACAGGACTTATTTCGTACTTGTCCTGTTAATATTGGTCATTGTTTACAGCACAGGGCACGTAAGCGTGGTTTAACCTGCAAATTTTCGTGGAGTAGGGAATTTTCTGAACGTGAAAAAAGGTCAGACTTCGTCCAAATCTGGTCTATTATCCTTCAATGAAACGGACTTGGAATGAATAGCTCTGAAGTAAATGCCTTTCTGCACCCCACACAATTTCAATAAACTAAAATGACAACCTCAAACGCGAGACATACTTCTTTATCAAATTTTGACCACGGCAATCCATGAGTTAGATCACCCACTGCATGGATATCGAACATAATTATTATAAAACCCATGGTAAAGGAAAGGTTTTATGCAAATAGTGTCTACTCAGACGCTGCATGTCTTACGTACTGGCAGTTCAAATACTAGCTGAAAACCCGGACACGTATTTTGCATGGTACAGCTGCGGGGGTTTCGGTTCATCAGTGCGGCCCCCAACGTACCCAGTGTGCTTTCTGGCAGATATCCTAGTTTGCAATTTTTCTTGTTTACCTAATCGGCCATTAAACACAGCATAAATCGTATGATAGTTTTTAGCAGAACTACAGATCGGCTACTGCTTATGAAGGAAAATGATTTGCGTCTGAGATTCACACGTGGTTTAAGCGTGCCTGGAGTCAAAATGGTGGATGGCACTAACTTAGCTAATATTAATTCATGTCACCGCTAAGCCTATGCTCAGCAATTAGGGCTCTTGCATTATGCATGTTCATTCGTATATAAGATATTCCTGGTTAAGTTTCATATGTTCGAAACAACTGGCCATCATTCCGAACCAGCTTTTGCTATACAGACGGAAGTCAGTATACCAGTAATATATTATATGCACATAGATGACTCAGCAGGCATTGTTTGAACCATTCGCTTGCGGTACAGTATTTATAGAGACGTTAATATCACAGGATTGATTATTTATCAATAGGTTAGATAAGCTGCATTTTCGTGTTGCCTTGTTCAATTTCGGGGGACATTTACGAACGAAACGGGTGTAAATAGCTCGTAATAAACCTTTTTAGTCTCGGTCGAAAATGAGATATGAAAATCTAGGCTAAAATCCATCAGCCACTTTGGGAAAACTGCATAATATCCACAAGCAGTCAAAAGGATGGCTACGGCTTAGTCGAACTTATTTGTAAGCGTTTGTAAAAATTCAGCTAATGATCTAGCATTTGCTTTCTCACAGGTCATTTCGCTTCCGTATTGTTGGCATTAGATGAGTTCTTTAAGGTGAGCGCTCCGATCTCCATATATATACTTGACAGTGCGTCTCTGCAGGCGGTGTGTATATTATCGTACAATGTTGAATAAACCTTAACCAAGGCTGTTTTTGATAATATGCTTTGACTGCCGATTTGTTCCTCAGAGCAACTATTTAACTATGCATATGTCGTTTTCTATTTCAAAAATTGACGGCCATATAGCATATCCGTGGAAACGTCCCGACTGCCGTTAACTGTTCACGCATAAAGACTGTCGTCCACGCTATCGTACCGTCACCCTGGAAGTGATTGACCAATCAACCCTAAATTTCCCGCCCTCCAGTACTCGCAGGCGTGAATTGCATGAAGTTTGAAAACCAATTGGTTACATCCCCCACTCCACTGATATAAATATAGCCCCGTAGTGACGGCTTGAACATTAGGCAAAATGCTCTTTTTCATCAGACCCCTGAAAACAACGTCGTCGGCTGCAGACACCTCAAGGTTTGCAGGGTTAACCATCTCGATGGTCATGCTCATTTGTCTGTTTCTTCTCTCTGGTCTTGCGACAGCCTCCGTCGTCAGCCAGCATCTAGGAAAACCTACGAGCGACATCGACGCCGACAAAGGCAATGCACCATCAATGCTTGCTCAACCACAAACCGGTGGTCGGTACGCGGACGCCGATGGTGGTTCTCAAGACTCAACCTATCGCGTCCAATCTGAACCTCAGAATATGGCAGAGGGAAAAAATGTCGAGACTTCCTATCTCAGTCTCTCACAGTCTGGTACGCTTTATTCTATCTGAAAGGGAAGACTAACGAGTGCCTCTGCCGAATGTTAGAACATCGGCAGGTTATGCACGTCCGAGAAAATTAGTTAAATTTGCCAGGGTTTGTGTGTGAGTACGAGTACAGACAGAAATGTGTTATGTGACCGCGGCTGACACATTCGATTAAATCATTATGATAGTAAATATCTACGCACCCCTATCCCAGATCGCCAATCTTGATACTAATCACTGCTTAGAAATAAGTATTTACAGAAAGATCACAAACACTGTGCAAGAAGTATGTTTATTTAGGAAGGCCATGCCTCTAATCTCACACCATTTGCTACTTTTTATTAAAAAAAACGGTAGGTCGTCTGGAAGACATGAAGTGAACAGATCCAAGCTCTGTCTAGAGCAGAGATTTGCGCATGCGATTAGCCGCGCTTTTCTTAACTATAAATGCCAGATGTGATTTTGAGAACTGAATAACTGAGATGAGGTTCCGACCCACATAATTACCGTTGGGAATAATGGGAAAGTGCCGGGAGTGGCGTTGGAAGACTCTAAAATGTGATTGAGTATTTATTTGAGAGAACAAAAGGGGGCAGTAAAAGCACCGCTAACCTGCGCAGCAGTGACAAACATCTCACATGGAACAAGCACTCTGACTTCTGAAGGGGGATTACGGTTTTACGGGAAGACACGGTTCACAAGCTGGCGCTGATCGCTTTTTGAAAATTGATCTTTCGTCAGAACTGTTGGTACGTTTTGCTGTCTATGATCCGCTTTACATGGGCTTTCCGCAATAACCCGATGTGATTTCCAGCGTCACGGTGGCAGCGTCCACTCTGCCGTATATGTCTTCACGCAGGGAATTTTCACCGGTTGAGACTCAATGAGAAACCATTTTTATGCCCACTCACAGAAATCTCTACCAAAAAGGACAGGCTAACGCTCTATCACCATCATATAGGTACGGTTACCTAAACCGGTCCCTTCCACTCCTTCTAGAAACTGCAAAAATGTCCGTGGATTTTGATCTCACATACGGACAATTAGCCACATAATAAAATTATTTTCCACGATGAATGTTAACTCGAAACATTAACTGGCGCTTACATACTGATACATTTGTCCTGAAGCCATCTCCTGGAAAGTTTCTGGCGACAGAGTGAACAGAGCACACATGTGAGCAGGTTAATCTGACAACTCAGTCCATTAAGAATAAACCGCGTCGGATTGGAAATGCTTTTCATTAGCATGCCGTTCCTCATCCAGTTCATCTTAGCAATTACTGTTGTTTTCAATATATATGTCATTATTTGAAGTTGTGCTATTGCAATTGCACTGTTAGCCGGCCTTATGGGCGACGCAGCTCTCACGGATTCTGACGTGGAATCAATGCAAGCATCAGACATTGGCAGTGAACTGCATTCACTTCGGGCTAATGAACAGACAATCGGCGAAATCCCAGAGAGCGACTTGTTTGGAGACTGGGATCAGAATGTGAACAAGTTGGCGGGGTCTGATGATGTCACCGGCCAGACAGTGATGTATGTGCTCTGGTTTTTGCTCTTTCTCTGGGTCCTAATTTTAAACTTTGCTTTCGACTGTAACCTCAGACAACTCTCTTAGGACATTCCGCAGTCAAATCTCTGGCGTGCTTTTAATGTGGTCCACTCGATGAAAGTACATATATCTATCTGCTCACAAATGTTCACACGATAGGTAAACCAGCAAGCTCTTCTAGTCCAGAAAGCATTTCAGAACTTCGGCGAGGTAGGCCAGATACTGCATCATTGCGCAGGTCGTCTTAGCTTGAGCCAATTTTGAAGGACATGGAAATACACAGACGGCCCACAAGAGAACCAATCAGTGTCTAGTTACGGACGCTGTCATGGTCTTCGTTGAAGTGATCTGTTGAAATCAGCGCTTTTGAAACAGAGGCTTTAAAGCCCAAGTGCAGCGAATAATGCTGGTTAAACTGTAGCGATTTCACTGGATACGCCAGCAGTACTGGAGCTCATGTCAATTTGCCAACTATGGCGGAAATAGAGATCGCGCAAAATCTGTAAATTGCGTCCCTCCTGCAGTCATAAACATCACTCAGAGGACGTAATGCAGTGCTCATCTAATACACACTGTGGAATGCACGCGCACCGATCTACCGAGAGTTCTCGAGGTTCCAGATATGTGCGGCAATGTCTGTTACAGTGGCCATTCGGCTGTCTATTCTACTCAAATAAACAGCCTATTCGTCTGTCTGATTATAAAATTGGTCAATTCTTCTTCTGCTGCTACTGCTTCTTCTTATTCCTCTCCTCATTTTTCGATCCCTTTATTTGCGAAGGCAACAACAGGACTATTCATCTAAGAAATTGGCAGGTGAAGGGCAGGGACCAAATGGAGTCAAAGGGACTTTGTTGTCGTCGAGTAAAGGTCTGTATGCTGCTAGCGCCAGTGGAGGTGGGTCGTTGCAGCGCAGTCAACGGGCAGCCTTATCCATTCAACGTTATCTCTGGCCATCAGGAATCGTCCCTTATGTGATAGAACCGATAATCTCCAGTAAGTTCACTGAACAATCTCATCAGGCCTAATAACGAAACTTGAGCTGTGCTGACATTCTGGGATAGAAAATGCAAAGACGAAGGATCAAATCTGTTAACAGTGATACACATGCAAACCGTGAAAAAGTTTATATATATACAGTAGGTGGGCTAGCTCATGAAATGTCAACCGAAATTCCGGAATGTGTTTTCGTTTCTTAAAAATTAATTAATCAGGGTTGTACAACTAATCAGTCTCTGGCATAATTTTATAGAAATTCAGTTACTGCAGGATGCCAACTTGCAAAAGAACTTCCTTGCTGCTGCATGCAAAGACTATACCGTAAACCTTTGATTACTTTGATAACATGAAATTTTTTCATTGATTTTCGACGCCCTTAAGAGTCAAGTTATGTTTCATAGAAAACATGCATAAAAGTACTCATTCTTCAGCTCATTCGGTAGGCAATTATGTCTACTTCCATTTTTATACTCGAAGGAATAAGGAGGGAAGGAAGTGTATAATTCGGCTTTTAAAAACCTTTCCAATTCCTGAACAATTTGAACCCGTTCTGCCGTTACACTTGGATTCAGGGTTTCCAAACTACATGCCGTATATTTTCCGCGTACGGAAAACCACACGTTTCTCTACGGTATTAAGAGGAGACCATATAGGGTTCATAAAATATAGTATTGAAGTTGATCCATATTGTTAAAGTTACAAGCCACATTAGTAAATGCAGGGTCATGGCATTTTATGAACAATCATTTCACGATTAGAAACGTCGCTTAATTAGAAACCTTTTAAGACCGAATTACCTCCCTCCTTCGAGTACAAAATTGGGAGAAGTAGTGATTGTCTATCAAAGAAGTGAATGAATGGATATTTTTATGCATGTTTTCCATGAAATATAATTTGCCTCTTAAGGGCATCGCAAATCAATGAGAAAAATTCCTGCTACGCAAGTAGTCATTTTTTACGGAGTGTTGTTTTTACATGCAGCCCGAAGGAAGTTCTTTTGAAGCCATCATCCTGCGGTAACTGAATTACTATAAAATTATGCTATAGACTGGCTAGTTTTACAGCCCTACTTAATTAATCGTTTCGAAACGAAAACGCATTTGTTAATTTCGGTTGACATCTCATGAGTTAACCCACCTATTGTATATATGCCAAGTATACCCGTCACCCACACTGTTGTGGTTGTAATATTGCTCAGTCCCATTATGACCGTCCGCCGAATTGCTACTAGCGACAACAAACTGTGGGTTAAAGGAATCATGCCACATATAATACCTTGGCAACCCATTAAGTGTGAAACAGGTCAGAAGCAGACAACTGTCTAATAGTCGTTATCAATCATTGGTACGAAGACGTGCTGGCTTAAAATGCTTACATACCCCACTAGATAAGGCCTACGGCGCGCTAATGATCGGCAACAATCGCGAACCGACTGTTTTTATCCGGTCTGTTGAACCAAAAATGAGCTCCCTGCGTATTAACAGATCTACATAGTACAGATAACTCACTTGTGGAAATCTCGGTAGTTTCGGTGAGGTTCGTAACCACGAAGACAAATGTAAGTCTTGTGTACATTCAACGCTCTAGTGGCCAAGGCTAGAAAAAGCCCGACTGAAATCTGTGAGCTTAATAAAATTGAGACGAAATTACCCGCTTAATCTATTGTCGATGATTTTCTAAATGTGGGCCAGATAAACATTTATAGTTGTATATGCAGGCAGATGAAGTCGTCTAAGAAGAAAATAAAGTTTTGTGTAACATTTAACCATTTGGTCTTCCTGGAGAACTTGATGTTTTTCTAAGTGATTTCTTAAGATGCGCATTTCGTACAAGTGGACATATAGGACAGATTTGTGCTCGCCCGTCAGGTTATAGATCATGCTCATCCATATGGTGTTTTGGCTCAATCTAGAACCCTCACATGCAGTCGCATAGCAGATAAATACAATAGGTGTTCCTAATCAAGAAAAGTTAACCGAAATTCTAAAATGAATTTTCGTTTCGAAAAAAAGGTTACTTAAGTCGGATTTTGAATTTAGTCACCCTTCAACGAAATTCCCTAGTAATTATATTACTTCGAAATATCGGCTTTCAAAGGAACGTCCTTTTATCGTATATAAAAGAACACTTCGTAAAAATTACTACTAACTTAGCATGAATTTTCCGGATTAATTTTCGATACTCTTAAAAATTCAATTATATTTCACTGAAAAAATGCATGAAGATATTTAAGCTTTCACTCATTACGTAGAAATGCATGTTTTCTATTATTTTTATTGTCTAAGGTAGACTATTATTCGGTCTTCAAAAAGTTTCTAACCATGCGATTGTTTAATGCCGCGAATGACCGCTCATAAAACACGGTGTATTTGCATTTCCTATCGTAGCTTGTAAAGTTAACAATATGACTGAAATCAACTGCTAAAGTTCATGAACTCCATATGGCCTTTTCCTTATACCGTAGAGAAATGCATGATTTTTCGTACGCGCAAAATATACAGCTTATAGGTTGCGAACCTTAAATAAAAATCTAACGGCAGGTGGGTTCACAATTATTCGGGAATCGGAAACGTTTATAAAAGCCTAGTCATACTCTTCCCTTGATGGTGAATTAGAAGAAGGTATAACTTCCAATCGAATGAAATATATAAAGAATATTAGTAAACAAGTTTTCCTTAGAATATTATTGAATTTTTAGGCGCATTGAAAATCAGTGAGATAAGTTCATGCTACTTAAGTGGTCATTTTACAGATTGTGTTTTTGCGTTCAGCCGGAGAGAGGTCTGTTTTAAAACATTCATCTTGAGGTACCTAAATTATTATATACTTTTCTGCAAGATAATTAATTGCACAACCCTACTTGAGTAATCGTTTTGAAATGAAAACTTATACCGGAATTTCGATCAACATTTCATGAGTCATCACACCTACTATAGATACCGGAAAAGGCAAGGGAAACTCAGATAACTATTTTTTGCCTTAGTGTTAATATGGTGTTTAGAAGGTAGATCGAGTCTCCTGTAGGCAGATGAGAATGAGCTGCGCATTAGATTAATGTGAAAGTACCTAATAAAAATAGATGAGAATTCCAGGACATTTCATGAGGTCGGTCACTCACAGTAAACATTAACTTGGGTGAACCACTTAGTGTTTGCGTGTCAATGAGACTAACGCGATGACAATAGCTGATTTTATTAAATGGTTAACAAGTACCACTGAATGTTAGTGCCTACGCATATAATCGATGAAAGACGCAGGCAACGGCATAAAAAGGAGCCTACGCAACGGAATTTCTCAGAAATATTTACCCGTTCACGGCTTGAACACAGCAAGGGGCCAAGGGGTAACCTGCTAGGTTTGGTGCGGGACAAAAGTTTATTTGCAACAGTTGTTGTCAGTTGCGTAATTAATGTACTATATGCATGCTCCAATTTCATACAGGTTCCTCCGTAGCAACCATCATAAAGGGCATGCGAGCGTGGGAAAACATTTCGTGCGTCACCTTCGTTGAACGGGAGCCCCAACACCATACCTACATTTTCTTTACAATTCTGGATTGTGGGTGAGAGCCTTCTACTTCTTCGCCTCTCATCTTTATTTATCATGTATTGCCTGTTTACTTTTTTACTGTCATTGACATCATAGACACTCAGTATTTTGGTCTTTTTTCCTAAAAATATTACGTGCGGCAGCTAGAAGTGTTATTTCAAACGAAAAGCGAAACCGACATTTTAGACACTATCATTACCCTATACCCCTGGCCAACCATATAATGACGTTTTGTGCATTTTGGTTTACTCATTCTCCTGGGCCTATGCTCCCAAACCGAGAGCCAGAAAATCACTGGAGGCAACTTGCGTTTTCTCTACAGAGCTGTCATTTTAATCGTGGCGCCTCTCCACTGACTTTTACACTCGGCCTGATCGATCTGCGTATTCGAATTATCGACCAGGCCGTCTGGAATGTTGTACCCGTAGGGCATTGGGCCGAATGCAGGCGAACCACAGTAGGGTGTTATAAATATGCGTTAATTCTAGTTAATTTTGACTTGTAATTTCCTGATACACATTTAAGTGGTCTGCCTCGTTCTCCTTCTTTGTCGCGTTGGTATTGAGGACAAGAGTCGGGTACGCATACGCTCCCACGTGCTTTCAAGTACCAGGCCGGGTCATAACACATTCTATCACGAATACGTCAGCGTCCCGCGACTGTCTTGTGATGCGGGCACGCGGTGAACATCGTCCGGTGGAAAGGGTGAGCAGTGCTTCAGTAAGAAATTGACCGGCTCGCCCTCGGGAAGGCTAAGATCGCATGTGAGGCAGCGATGCAGTTTAATGCCGACAAACAAGAAAATCCGCCTCCACACATTCATGAGCATCAGTTGACAGTAAAGAGGCAAGACCGTTTGTCTGAAGTACTCATACATGCGTTGGACACTGGGCATACGATAGCTTGCAAACAACACACGTTCCGATGCGTGGTGTTTCAAGAACGGCTGAGAGTCCCTCCAAGCCAAGCAGTCGATGCCGAGTACAAAAGTTTGAAGGAGAAATGGAAGAAATGGGGGCCATCCAAAACAGAATGACAGACGCGGCGACAGATCACTGGCGCAAGTATCAAATAAATATGGTTTATTTGAGGGCCCTAGAATGTGAAATCTTCTTGGCGCATTTGATCTGCACCTCTCGAAAACTCCCGCAATACATTTTCTTATCTCATAGAGTGCATTTTTAAAGGTGCCTGTCCCAAAGGGCGTGTTACTTCTTCATTTCCTCCGTCCTCCCATAGAGTGCTTGAACGCGCTGCAAAATTATTCTGAGTCGATTGCCTTTATACCCAATAAGATGGTTGCTTTGGAAGAAGAGGAGGCGCCTTTTGTTAATTGGCTTACAACAGACCGTTGTTCATATCTTCCCGTCTGCCAGCTTCGAAACGTTTGCGGCAATGAAGAGCGACCAATTGCTGGGTTCTTCCTCCACGGTAGACTGTACGTCGGGAAGGACTGAATTAAGCAATGCCCTGAAAGTCTGCTTGCCGCTCCGTCTGATTATGATAAACGTGTCACTGACGCATCTGTCCCAGACTTTGGGAGATGAGATCTGAAGACCAGCTGCTCGTTCCCCCAAGATACTGCCCCGGCAAATGGCCAAGACAGATGCGAGTCCATCGGCGTCCCTATGGTTTGCAAGCAGAATGTGAAGGTCTTAAAACACAGTTTTAGGAGCTCGATGATATGCTCTCGTTTGAGCTCTTGGTCAGTCTTATTCTATTTATCTCGGGGACAACCATCGATAGAGCTGATAGCCAGAACGAGTAGTATAGAGGTGAGTAACGAGACCACATCAAATGATACCATTACTCCCTCTGCCCCTACGTTGAGCTGTAAGATACGCGTCAAACCTCTTCAGCTGATCTCCCTGTCCCCTCCGAATCCTTGGTAGGGAAACAAAGTTGCTGGAACAGTCATTTTGACAAAATAACTTTTGGAGTGTCACGTAAGGAGATGACGAGATGTGCACATTCGGCAAACCGCGGAGCACACCATCGCAGCATCAGTGGTTTTTCTGTCAAGTGCTACCTTTCTCTTGAGAACCCCCCGTCTTTTGCATTTTATCTATCGTTTCATTTATGCTGTCAACGGGCTTTTTGAACTTGCTGGCTGTCGATGGCGCGTCAGAATACCTGTCCATCAAAAGGTTCTCAAGTTTCTTCCAGTATTTGTTTATACCGATGGAGTAGAAACGAAACTGGCTGCTGCACGGCCTTTTTGAATTCCTCACCCGCCTAACACTTCTGGAGCGCCGATTCGAGGAATGGAATGAAGTCTTCTGATTGGGCATCTCCTCCGCTGAAGTTCTCGTCATAATATAGAACCGCTGGTCGCTGCTAAGTGAGACCATGGGTGGGAAAGTTGTGAACAAGGACGCTATTAAAGAAGGGCTACATTAGTGGACTTATGTTCTTGGATTTTTCAGGTAATTTATCATCAAGTAACTTGCTGCGATGCTGTGTACTTCCTAAGACTGTCGCTTCGAGGACAAATGACAAGTTGACTGATGCTGTTTATTCATTTGGCGGCATTTATGTTGTTAGAGCAGTAAGTTTGTATTCAGGAGCCTGTTTACTGCACTCCGTTTGTAAGAGATCGGGCGATTGCTCTCGTAATAAAAAATTCTGCATAAGTTTCCTTTTGGCAATCTGAGGTATGAAATGTCCTGACAGTTTCTCTCTATACGAGGACATTAAGAAATGCGATTTTGTTGCTAACCTCATGTTGTGTGTGAATGTAATTCGTTGGGAATTTGAGCTGATAATGCTGTGAAGCATTTTTAGTTTATCTCTTTAAACAAAACCACAACTGTCATCAACTTAACGTGCCTGTAACCATGGATTAACAAATAATAGGGTGATGGTTTATAATTTTTGCATCTCGACTTCTTCGAGGAAGGCGGAGATAAGTGATCTCATCTGAGCTCCCTTCAGATATTGGCAGTATCCCTGCGTAAATGAGACGAAACATACCAGACAGAACTGATTTTTTTGCTCAAACGTTTTTCGCAAAATGGGTGTCCCAGAGATTTCGTACATCGATGCATGAAACAACGGGAGTTGAATGAAGAACGAAAAGGACAATGAGCTAGATTGTTGCGGTTGGGTGCCTGAAACAGAAAATTGTCAAACATTTCCGTATATCAAGAACGTGTTGGAACTAGTTTAAAAACACCTGAGGTGGCATTAAATACACGTGAAAAACCGACGGCTAAATTTTGCAATCAGCTTTTACACCCTAAAGGTGAGGATGGTTATTAAGATAAGAAAATCTTTGTCTTTAAGATACGATTCGACACCTGCGATACAATCCACTGTGATCAAACTGGAAAATATGCCGCTATATTCATGTGTAAACATCGACTGGCAGTAAAAAACGAGATCACTTACCGTAGGTTGCCATGCATTCGTTGGAAACTAGATATAAATTTGCCTGGAAAAAGCTTACACCATGGCTGTCTGTGCATTTCAGAAAGACCGACAACTTTTAGAGGCAGTAAATTCTGACAACCCATACATCAATTTGTACATCGAATTAGACGCCGAGTGCCACCATTTAAAATAAAAATTGAGGCGGCGATGGCCAATCTGAACGTGATGGCAACTCACAGTGAAGACTGACCGGCAGTAGTGCCAGCGCGATATCGATTTTTCGGCATGCTTACATTTTTAGCTTCTGTGCACACTTGATTCATCCTGGAGGCAGCCTAGGAAACCAGAGTGAAGAACGTACGAAAGAATATCACCTTTCCAAAAGCAGTTATTTCCTTTGAATAAGCTAGATCCTTAACAAATAGATCGCACGCTAAGTAAATCCATTTGGCGTCATAATCGCCCACAAGACGGTGCCCTGAATGCGCACAGAACTATCCCGTTGTTTTCCCGCATCGTATTCTGTGCAGTACCTTTTCCCGCATTAACTGACAGAAGCTGAGCCATCCGACGAGTGGGTCGCTGGTCTCTTGTATTTGAACATCACCTTGAGCGCAATATTCGCTTCATTTGGGACGGCACTGAAGTGGTCGCCAGTACTAACACCAGACTGGGGTGAGAAGTTCCCGAAACTTGATACTCGAACATAAACAGCAACAACAGTCATATCGACCTAGACGCTTACCAGAAACCTCTTTATACACGGCCCGCTAACTTTTAAATCGCAGCTGCTTATTCGTGCTAGGTTATGTAATACACTGACGAATTGACGGCAACTCCCACACGGTTGCCCACAATTGGAATACTTAACCCTTTTCTAACATTCGTTATCTACACTAACATACTTTTCACTTCCTCATATAGAGGTCTTTCCGCCGATGTTACATCTGTGTGCACAAGTGCCCTAGTCGATTTATTCCACTGCTCACTGTTCCTTTCATCTGGCGACGGATTAGTGTAAGGCGACTTGAAAATTGACGAGGACAAATTTAATTTCCGACGGGCCTTCTACTTTCATTATATCCTCTCGGGATGCATACAACTTCCGTTGTTCAATATATGCATACATGCATATGAATTGGGAAAAGGGGCATCCTTAGAAACTTAAGTACGAAGATAAAATTCTTTGTTAAACCCTAACATTTATGGTGCAAATTTTCGAGACTGTTCTATCTGCCCGTCTTCAGACAATGAGTGTACAGAAGAAATTATATTCTTAACTTAGTCCGGGATTCTTTTATTGGCCTACTGCTATACCACTGAGTGCTAATTGCACTTTGTTATTAGTTTGCGGTGAAGATACAATAGATGTGCTAACTCATGAAATGTCAACCAAAATTGCGAAATGTACACGACCATCCAACCCAGATAACCATAAACACACTGAACACTGGGCATTAATTTAAATGGGTAAATACTCGCATTGTTTGCGCTTGTCCAATAATGAATGGTCGCGAATTCCTAGAAGCAATGCAATCAGATAATGCATGCATCAGTCGGCGTATCAGTCTGGATGCCTCATACAAAATCTTTATAAACAAATTCAAACTGGAGCAATCAATCCCAAAGAGGTAACGAAATGCTTTTAACACGTAGTGTCACAGACGTTGAAAAATCGTAGAATCCATAGATAGACTCGGTTAAAATCTTAGTCGTATTGGCACTACCGTAGTCTGAAGACGAGCTGGTGAACCAGGCTCTACAACTTACACAATAAATTTTGTGGTTTCACAATTAATTTTTTTTTCTTGTTGCATCCCTTCAGATGTGCCTTTTTTACTTTGTACATATAAATTTAATGATATATACGTACTGAAAGAAAAATAATTCGAGGAAATATGAGTCCTTTGGGGAATTAAGCAATCTTCATTTGGTATATTTTCAGTGCTGGTTACCCAGGGCATCGGCAAACGTGAAGAAAGTGCGAAAAACAGTTAAAATTTAAACGTGCCCGAAAAAAATATTGCTTTGTCAGTGCTTAGGGTCAGTCGATGCTGTGGGCTGGCGTCACGTTCTGACTAGTTATCATCTTTTCCATTGTTCTTTGAGATTTCTGTGCATTGCGTACAGATCGATGCGCCGATTGATGCCGAATGGTTAGAGTGAATGACCTCTGGAAATTTTCGGTAGGAACTGACAATGCATTTTTTATCCCAAACAAACTGTTGCCCAGTTTCAACAGTATGCATGGCGACTTGCGGAAAGTTGTCGTGTCTTCAATCTTAAAAAAGGCGTTGTCAGCGCATTCATATTTCTTGATGTCCCCGTACAGCGACAAACTGACGGGACATTCTACACATCAGTATACCATGCAGAAACTTATGCGGGCATTATCCTACATTATAAGAGGAACCATCCTATGGCTCGCAAACGGAGTGCTGTAAACTTACTACTTAATCGAGCGAAGACACACTGCTCTGAAAACGAAGGGGACGAAACAGAAGTCAATTATTTGTCAACCTATTTTTCCAAAACATCTATCCTAGACAATTTGTCCGCCGCCGCATGACACAGAAGGAATGAAAAGAAAGCTAAAGGCCAATATATTGTTTCGATCAGGCCCTGGAACCAAAAAAATGGCAAACGCCTTCTTACATTAAGACAGTGTCTGAACTCGTTGAAAGACAACTGGGGAACCATCAAATACAAGTGGTTCGCAAACCGATGACTACGCTACGCAACCAGCTTGTACACTCTAACGATAGGGTTGGCTGTTTGGATAAAGAAAAAGTAATCTATACGATCCGGTGTGGCGCTTGTAATTCGGCATATTGTGGTCACGCCGTGACATTCGCCTCCACACGCCTACACGAACACCGGTTGGCATTTAAGAGGCGGAACAACTTTCCCAAGTCGCCATGCATACTTTCAAAAGTGGGCACAAATCAGTTTGTACACATGTTAACTGTTTTTACACTTTCTACACGCCTGACGATAACCTGGGGGACCATCATTGAAAATTTAAGAAATAAAGTGTGTTAAATTTCCCAAAGGACTCATTTTTCTTCAAATAGTATATATATGAGGCATACAGGCCACATAATTCTCAATAGTGATTGACTATATTGCTGCAAAACCTAGACTATCCGTGCCTGTCAAGAGTTTCTCCAGCCTGCTATATGTCATGTCTTTTAACACAATTTCTTCCACATGACCTTATTTGCTCTCTAACCAGATATAATGCCACCTCGACTCCTGTCATAAAAACAGAACCAACCATGTTCAGTTTAGTCTTTCTTTAAGAAATTCATTCAAGCAACTTCATTTTCTTACGTCCTGTAAGATAACAGTCTTGTGCAGACTGCAAAGGGCTGCGGTCCCTCTTTATCCCCAGCTAACTAAGTCCCTTCCGACTACCGCAACCGTAAGATATGTCCCAGAGAGCATTGACATTGATTAGTTGCTAATAAAAGGCACGGCTTAATTCTTTCAGTTAATGCATCTTCAATGCCAGTGATACTCATCTTAGAGGTCCGGAGAAATTCCTCATTCATATCGCGTCTCGGAAAACATTAAACGCCCGACACGACAAAAGATTATCCATGGAAATATTCTCACGGGAGACATTTAATATGCTCGGATAAATGGTAGGGGCTCTGGGACTCCAGAACTGTAAACTAACCTATAGAATACGTCGTTATAGAAGACAAAGTTTTCCAAAAATGTTTCTTGTTATTTGTAATGAAGAATCGAAGACCTAGTCTATAGTAGTCATCTGCCAAATTTTACCGAAATTTGACACCGCTACTCTCGCAATATCGGTAGCTACTAATAATTCAAAGGGAAATTTGGCGAGCATACGTCTGCTTTCGATAAATTCTCTTTATATGGCTATTGAAGAAATGAATCAAAAGATACGGACAAGTAGGTAATGAAGCTGTAGCTCAAGTTTGGAGAGGGGAGGGGAGGGGAGAGTGAAGCACCACAATTCCAGTCAGTTCAAGGGAGGAGATGGGTCCCGGCGAAGGTAATTACATGCGGGTGGCTGGCTTGGTGGCTTTGAACCATGGCAGCTGTGGGACCTCTATGAAGTGCTTCTGTGCGCATAGGACCCGTCCGCGTAGCATGATTGCAACCGTCTCTGCCGAAGCCAACAAGCGCTGCCCAAGCTGTTTTGCATAGCTTGATGGGACCTTGTAAATAACTCTGAAGGCCTCTCTGACGTCTACAGGGTGGTCTGTGTCTATCTTGTGCGCGTGGATTGAGCTGTTGATGTTCTTTATTTGTTCCTTGCCTAACCATGCTGGAAGATGTTCTTGTAGCATTTTAGATAAACGCCGGCTCGTGTGACCAATATATTCTGTCTCACAGGAGCAGAGGAAGGAGTAAATACACATAGAGGTGGTCTGAGCTGGTAGTTTGTCCTTGCACTCTCCGTATAGAATGAGACTGGTGGAGAACAGTACAAGGGTGTCAGCTGCTGGAAAGGTCTGTGATACAGCTTGAGTTAGGCGTCTTCTTAAAAGTTCACTTGGTGCATCCTCTTTAAATGGCACCCTGATGAAGAACTTTTTCTTTTCTGCTGTCAGTATCGGGGCTTTTGTGGTCTTTCGGTCATGTTCTTAGCAATGAATCGATTAGGATACCCGCTCTTGCGAAAAAGGCTTTCGATGTTCCTAAGCTCCTTCTCAACGCTATCAGCTCAGCAGATTATTCTCACTTTTTTCTCTATACATTGAAGCCATTTCCACTGTTTGCTCGCTTTTAGACTCCTTGTTCATTGATTACGAATGCATGGCAGAGCGCCCATATAAATACTGATATTTTTATGAATCTACTAGTGCTTTGCTCATTCTATTTCGGAATAAGTTATGCACAGAAAATAAAAACTACATGACAAGTAGTGTTTCATATGTCAAATTGGAAATGATCATTCCGTAATGGTCATTTATATGACACCAGGTAGAGTTTTCCAAACGGCAAAACAATTTCAGCCCATTTGAACGAAGGACTCTCTATCTGCTTCATTACTGCACTTTACGCCGCCAAATCGCACAGATCTGCTAATTTGACATTTAGGGATTGATAAAACGCCTGGGTTTCTTAAAATAACCTTTGTGTTAGCAGGCTGATTACTAAGGTTAACATCGCTCACCAAATAACTTTTAAAGTCCGGCTTAATCTGTTTATTAAAACTTTCACGGGCAAATAACTATCCGTTCAATAAAAAATTTCTTAGAAGCGCAATCGGAGTCTAGGACATGTATTAGCATAGGAAATTGCACGAATATGTTCTAACGCCTGTTTTTGCTAATTTTTACTCATGTTTTGCTTAATATAATCACAGGAACAAAATTTCTGCACACAAGAACAACATTTCATTGAAGTATGTGGATAAGCAAACGAAATGCGCAACAGTAAAAACGTCTAGAAGTTCTCGCATCAGTTTCAGTTATCAGATTTCATGAGCTAGGTCATGTACTGTATATGATAAAATGCGCAATAAACGAATTTCATTTATTTGAAATAATTGTAGGTGCTGCTCGCACGTCGGTCTTAAATGTACTGGTTCGCCGCAGGCGATTTCCATTGCGCCGTCCTGCGAGAGTGTAGGTGAAGTTATGCACCAATTGGGCCATGTTTTAGGGTTCTACCACGAGCAGAGTCGACCCGATCGTGACGGTGAGTCCATGCATTTCATGTGCATATTCCTTGCCAGTTGCCATACTTGCCTAGCAAACCAATGAATAGTATGCACATGTCTCTGTCCTATGTTTTCAAACATCCTGTCATAATCGTCTGTCTAAATTGTTCTCCGTAATATTAAAAATGCCAACATTTGGGCATTTGTACAACGTTTAATATTTGAACGAAATGCCAAGCAGGTAGGGAATGTTAAGCCCGATCTTTATTTCCGTAGCTTGGTTGGTATGCTAGGCAAATTAAGTTTGCAGGCTATAGCAATTTAAGAATTTATTTATACGAGAAATAATATTAGTGGCACATGGAAGCATTCATCTATATCGATCGTAATGCGGCGTAACGCATTTATTTGAGTTGTTGCTTGTCACATTCCTTTATACTGAAATAAGTGCTGGTTGCTAAGATAGGACCTCTTCATTTAGAACATGACCTCTTAATTTGGCCGGTAAAAAACTGACTTGGATCATCAGCGGGGCCGCCGTCGTTCTCCGTATGCCTTTTTAAGATATATTGCAGTTTTGAATCTTCCGCTCTTTAATCACTTCAGAAAACGATGCAGTAACGCCATTTGAATTTGACCCTCCATGATGGACAGTTTGGTCACTTCTGATTCTCATCTTATTTTAGACTTCGTGGAGATCCTCACAAAAAACATCCTGCCTGCGGCGTGGGGCGAATTTGCCAAGAAGCCCAGCACCTATATAGATTCCCTTGAAGAGCCCTATGACTACGAATCGATTATGCACTTCAAGGCTAATGAATTTACTAAACCCGGCGAGAATGAATCCATAAGGCCTCTTCAGTGCTGTCCACCTCCAGAAATAGGTCAGCGAGTGAAGATCAGTGAGGGTGACGCCAGACAGGTGAACAAGCTATACAAATGCCCTTGTAAGTTGCATTATGCTTGTCGCAATTGTCGTGACCTTTTGGAGAAACTCACTGTCTTTTCACCTGTGCCGCAGTGAAGACATGGGCTCTTGCTTAGTTAGAGGCCTTTCGATGTTTTGAGCCAGGAATTCCAAGAAGGTGTGACTAGTACAACAATTTTAGCAAATGTGAATTGCATTTGTACTGAGGGTATCTAGGTACAGGAGTGGGTCTTGAGACCTTCAACACACTGACTTCGTGCATTCTCTACTGTTTCCTTTCTATATCTGGTTACCGGGTCTATGATTTCCGCACCTTTCATGGTCGACTCATCAGAAGGATGTGTTCTGCGTTAGGCAAGAACAAGCTGACTACCCAGGTTTTGAGGTAGTTCACGCAACGTGAACGAAAATTTTACCAAGAATGTGAAGCTTGGATATAAGGCTGCAGGACCAATGGCTTGAAGAGGCATCAAACAGCTTACCGTTGCACCACTTTTCATCCTCATTCGTCGGCATACCGTGCAGACTGAGGCAGGCGGCGCAGTCGAAATTGGACTGGTGAAAGCTAGTCACATTTGAACATCTCGGCTGGCATTTGGCAGCGCCAGGAAGACGTGACATGCTTTCGCCACGTCTTACTCTTGTTCATCAGTCCATTCTGATTATCGTGCTACTAAAAAGGCGTAAAAGAATTAATCAATACGATCTTCACTGGTTCCCACTGTCATAGTAGTGCATTCTATAAAGGGAAGTCTTTGACCGTAATACACGTTCTTTGTTGCCAACGCGGTTTAGCACTGTGCATCACCATCGGGTGAAATTTGTGTCTAAGCCGTCTAATTACTGAGTCATTTATTTACAGTGTTAGATTTTTTTCCTCGTAGCTTGTCACTTGGCATTATATGTTGATTTCCATGTTGATTAACCAATGGTTCCAAATTGCTTGACAAACAACAATAGCTCAGGGTGGGTGGGTTGCATGTGAGCTGGGGAGGTTTGAATGCATTTGCTACAAGCAGATGGAAAGGAAAGTTAAAATAACCAATTACATCACTCGATACATTCCATTGTGAAATCAGCAGAGAGCCACTCGCTAATGGAATTATTTGCGGAAGTTTGTTTAAATTTCTCCTGGTATGAGCGTGTTCAAGAGACACCTGGATAATCACCTGTTAAAAGGCAACTCGGGCTCCCCAAGCTCGAGCTAGTGGATTACTGTAATCACGCTTGCATACTGCTAACATGGCTTCAACAGATCCTTTTGTGCTTTTTTGGCATTCTAGCAAGCATTTAAGGCTTTAGCTTGGGAATTCACGCACATGTGACATTTGTATATTCGTCAGTTCCAAGATGATTCTTACAATAGATGCTTCCACACAGGAATATTTATTTTAAATTTGATAAATCACTGCTTCATGCAAGACTGTTCCAACTACTTTCACAGCCTGTGGGAGGACTCTGATGGAGAAGTCAGGCACCTTCGCGTCTCCACAAGCGGAGCCTCTCCGTCCATCCACAGAGGCCATCGACTTGCAACATACACTTTCCACCCAGAGTCAGGCGCAGAACACCACTTCGGGTGCGCTATTCTGCCAGTGGAGAATTGTAGCGAATAAGGGGGGACACATCAACCTCACTTTCACGCATATGGACATGCTTCCGCCGACAAGTCAACCGCGAATTGACAAACACAATTTTAGTGATTCTTCAGACGTCTTCCACCACTGCCAAGGAGAGTTCGTCGAAGTCAAAGATGGGTATTCTACCGGGGCGCCGGTGATTGGTACGTTAAAGTGGTTAATAACATCTAGTGGCCACTATTTTCTGAATATTTCCCAAATCGTTCTACATTTACTAGTCCATTCGTTCATGGTAATATAAAATCAGGTTTCGCGATCTACTAGGTCTCTCAAAGCCATATTATGAATTGGAAAACGCCCAACTGATGCCTGCTTATATGTACAGTTCATCATCTTTGCTTGCGGCTCACTCGCGAAATAAATGACTTCTTGATGGGAGATTTTAACGTAATTTAATGATGTTTTGTACTTGTTTTTATGCTTTGCCAATTGTATTATCTTTCCTAATGTTCTCCAATATAATCTGGGACTTTCTGTAAAAATCGTACTCGGTGAAAATGTGCTACTGACATAGTATGCATTTTTTGCCGTCACGTCGACCGATTGATTATTATACAGCCAGTGATTGATCTCGAGAAATACTCGTCGAAATTCGTACATGTGTTTTTGACTGGGAAGGATTACTAAGGCAGATGGCGTGGCATAATCCCATTCTATTTTGCATTTGCTAGGATATTGAATTTTTTATTCACTCAGTAATAAATGAGTACTTTGTCAGTATGTATGTTTAATATTGATTTTAGACGGCCTTATAAATTGAAGAATGCGTTTTGGAAAACATGCATAAAATATGATTTTTCGCATTCCTTTGGTAGATAATCACGCTATCTTTACACACAATACCCTAAGAAGGAGTATTTTTGGGCTTTAAGAACGTTTTCTAACTAACGAATAATTTTGAGTCAGATCGGCAGTTGCGACAGCGTATAACGATTTTAGTCTACAAGGTTTAGCTTCAGTCGTTAAGAAAATCACATATTCTTCTTTGCCTTCAAGAAAATAACGGGTAGTGTTTATAAAAATTTGCGATGGATGCGGAAAACGTATGGTTCATGGGGTGCATTAATAAACGGAAAGGTGCATTGCTCTGTGAACGGACGTTGTTCAGTTTTGAAACATCTCATAATCGAAAACCTTTTGAACCCGAAGAGAAGTGATTTGCCTCCATATGGGTATAAGTAAATACATTTCGGTGCATAGTTCCGACAAAATAGACCTAAATTTATAAGAGCTTCAAGAATCAATGCGAAAAATTTAGGTAGCAATTTTAACAGAGTGTGATTCTTGTTGGAGGTCGAAAATAAGTACATTCACAGTAAAAAATCTAGCGTGCCTGGAATATTTTACGATTAGGCTCCAAAAAAGTCAATGCGGCAACCCCACCTAAGTAATCCTTCCTCATTAAAAAAGCATTTCAGTGTTTCGACTAACATTTCATAGGATTGCCATTAAAACCCTACCCTGGATTGCTTAGCATTTGGCATGGGTGTTTCCCATTTCAGTACTTACCGACAAACATCTACCTCGGTCTCTATCCCTGTCTCAACTACGACTGCTGCTCGCAGTAAATATTAGAACTTAGATATAGACCTATTGACCAAATATAAAAGCTAACTCACAACGATTATATATCTCCCTCTATACACATTTTTGACAGGACATGGCAATAGAATCTGCCGCCTATCTGTCGTTGTCTCTAATAAAGGGCGGGTTTGAGCGGTTTCGGGCGGGAATCCGAAACTTAATACAAATAAAGCGCTTTTAACAGCGACCTTATCAGCTAGTCTCTAGACTTCGCATCTTCGCTTGTATCTGTTAGAGTCAATGCTAGGGTTGAGCAGTGGAACAGATACTCTTTCTGGAATTCAGCCTAAGGTCACTGGAAACAACAATTTAATTACTGCTAATCGTCTTAGGCTTCGTAAAAACGTAAAATGATTTTAAAAAATTTCCTTGCCTGAACTTGGGCCTTAAATTGGTTACATGAGTAAGCTACATGTTAGCGAACAGAATAGCGAACTAGTTATCTACGTAAAAGAGACATGATACTGTAGTACCGGCCAACAGATGGAAATCATCGACAACTTTGGGAATTCTGACATGTAACATGATAACAGTTATGTCAAACTCCGACTTGCAGACAGATTTCATCATCAAACGTTTTGCCTGATCTTGAATTATTCAGGTCGTTTTTGCGGAACAAACCTCCCACCAAAGTTGCTTTCCTCAAACATGAGAATGATGATTGAGTACACGCGACCTGCAGGTCAATCACGTACTGGATTCGCTGCCAATTACCAAGGTAAGCACAAATTAAAGTGACAACGTCGGCAGAGAGTTGACATAGTTGCAATGTTTCGATCGATGTAGGCACCGATGACCATCGCCTGCTCCACAGGATAATGTGAGCGGGTTTGTGACTTGCGCGTAAATTCGTTTATAATGATAGTAGGCATGCATAGTATCTACCGCACTCCCTCCTCCCCTCCCGTACCCGGTGCTAAATCATCCTCGAGAGGAGCGGGGTAGAATACGGCGCTGGTGACTTGCATGGCAAAAACCCGCACCTAGATGCATCACCATATCCCAGTTGGCAGAAACCGCATGAGGAAATTATGCCTTGTTTTGGCGATTAAAGTAATGAAACCGAAACCGGACGCTCACTCGGCGGAGGAAGTTAGTAGAAAGGAATTTTGTGTGACTTTGGAAGAACTCTGATCCGGTTGTAATTCACAATCAGTTCCTTTATTGACAGGTTCTATTACAAGCACGGATTGTTTGTGTTTAACTTTGTCTTTCGATGGCACAAGCCTCAAAATGAGTGTGGTTTCCGGATTTAATCACATTTAAAGTTACACAGTCGGTTGCACGTAGGAATCGAGTTTTACACGTGAGGTTTAACTTAATCGAAACCACTTCGTCCTCAGGCGGAATTATTTAAAGTAAGGTGAGAGCATCATATCAGATTAGTGATATTTGCCCGAAAATTCCAATAGCACCATCCGATAGCGCTAGGTGACAATGGTTGAAAATGAGTTCATTTATATTTTGAAGGGAATTTTTTGTGCTTACAGCTCTTGAATTTGCCCATCTGTAGATGTCGTAATTTGTCCATTTTTTTATCAGATACGCGATACAGCGTGGCAACGATTGAATATAGAGCCCCGCAAAGAAAATTAAGCGGGGGGGTTTCTGTAATCCGCGATCGATTTTGGTAGGAGTTTTTCGGGTGGATCAGATAAAGAAAGCAATTGACGGCGTCTACGAAAGTCTGCGTTTCTCTTTGTTTTGTTACTCCGATGAGGTAACAGAACAGACGAGACAATTTAAAACGTGCGAATATGGAGCGCGTAAGCACGTGACAAGCAGGTTATTGGCTAATGATGACCGAATTGTGTGAGACGGTGTACCACAGGCGAACCTAACCTTGCTCCCAACACTTGTCCCTAGCCAAACCCTAATCTCTTCCCTAACTTTAAAACTTTGCCTAATTTTGCCCTCAGCCTTAACCCCAGTCATAATTGTTAACTTCGCCGCAAACGTAGCCGTCGCACAAACTGCCTAGTTATTCTATGGCAGCATAGGGAAGGAATCACATATTCAATCCTTGCCGCGCAAAAGGCTGCTAGCGCCCAGTAGCCCGTCTGCGTTTTCCACACACAACCAGTTCCCCGCCAAATATTCCAAGTTTCCACACAAGTGGGTGGCTAGGATCCCATGTACGTCAGAATGTCATTATTGCCATGCGCAATGTCGTACCGAATCAGGCAAGCATTCAACTTTCCTATTTAAAAGGCATACAACAGACACAAATTCGGCAGCAGCCCTCAAAACAGAAAGCAGACTCTCCTTGGCCGATCCACGTGTAGCTGCGGTGACATTTGCACACAATTCCGCCATTAGATGGTTGACCTGCTCGGACAGCGGACTTATTCATCGGCGAGCGAAGGAGAAATGAGGTCGACTTTGGGTACTAAAACTCAGGGCGCATCATTGCGTTACTTAGTATTATCAATACGATGCACCTTAAACCCTATATGGTGCCTCAAAAGACATGCCCTGGAAAGTTGCCATCCGACGAGATAAGTCCGTCCCCGTGGTCAGTAAGGCGCGCGCATGCCAGATAAAACCGTCTCGAAGACTTACGGTCTGGCTCAATGGCTGCTTCCGGATGCCGCCTTTATGGCATTCCCGCTTGCGTGGAATCCGAATTGCCACGGTCCGCGAAAACCCAGTGCACGCCGGTGGGGAGTGCGTGACACCCGCGGAGCGGCTGTTTCAATTCGTGAACCATTGCGCCCGAATCCGTTTGAGTTCTCCCTAAGCCTTTCTTGTCACCGGATCCCGACAAGTGAGGGAGAGGAGAGTGCACCAAATGCTGTGCAAGTCTGTTATTACCATAGAATGATCTGAACGCAAGTAACCATCCTAAATCTATCACGCTGTGGGGTTTACGGCAGACATGGTCGTACGCGACGATCGAACTGCGGTGCTGTCCCGTATACCTGGGTCATATTTATATCCTACATGAATATCATATTTCTTCCCCAGTGCACGAAGAAATACAAATTATGAAGGTCTATTTTTTTTTCTTCTCAACTATATGGTTCTACAAGTGCACTTTAAAAAAGAGACTTAAAAGGATGAATTTGTTGATTTTGGCCCCAGGTAGGTGCAAGGGCGAGATCAAAACAAATTGACAAGGTGAATGTTTTACAATCTCCTAGTAGGCACTGACCACTTATGGCCGCGGAAATAAAGAGCGCTTCGTGAAACCAAAACAATGCTGTCTTGCTGGACGTCGACTAATGAGTTCAGATGACAATCGGTTTCATTATAATCATAAAAAGACAACTTTATAGCATAGGCCTGGAGACAGTCGCCTGAAAGGTAGTCATTTGCAAAGAAGATTAACATACGATATCTGAGTCGGTAAGTGTATTAGTCTGAACTTTCGGTCTCCTACAGGCCAGCGTCAGAGACTGTGAGAATGCGACACTAAATGAGCAGTTTTTTTTAGTCAAGCCATAAAGAGTGGATATGACTGCCGAGGGTGGTATTCGCGATAAGCTGAGTCCCAGGCCGTCTCACGGTGGCGTGACTGTGTGCACCCTTGGCTGGAACTTGCGTCTCGCCTTTTGCTCGCTGGAACGAGCGCGTGATAGTAGAGGCGTATGTCAACGCACTCACAACAGCGATCTCAACACCATGTTGGACAGAACGACGACTAACAAGACTCCGATTCTCAACTATCATAGTAACCTCACAATGGCGCATAAACGCAGCTGTGATAGGACACTCTTCCAAAGGTTGAAAACGCACTGCAGTGATCCAGAGGGACGAGTACGATCACTTCGGCATTTTTGGGACCAACTGGCAGCTTCGTCAGCCGCTGCCTCCGCACGCACCCACGGTGAACAAAAGGAGGAGAGCCGCCAACACTCTGGCAGCCTTTACCACATATAAAAACGTGTCCAAAGCGATGGAAGTTCAACGGACCTGTTGATAGAGTTGGTGTCATACACCCAGGACTCCAACAGTTCTCGCCCTGTCGAATAGACCTACTGTCTCAGATATCGTGCGTTCATCTTCTTTACAACAAGAACCCGTGATTCGCATATTCGATTCCATCCATAGTCATTTGCATTCCTACTGATGCGCCAATGACAGGAGGCTTGTCAAATTTTTTGAAAGCCACCAAGCATGATTTACGATGCATATAAAAGCGTGAATTTGTTAACAAACAAAAATATTCCAGAAATTGCCATGATGATCGGAATATAGTATTTTATATAATTTGAAGGCCTGACCCGTTTCGAGGATATTGACTGTCCAAGCAACGTAAAAACACATTTTTACCTTGCCAAATTACAACCCACCAAGAGGATGGCTGTTACCATTGAAATTATGATTTAAAATGCATGCAAAGTTGCGCATTGGTAAAAAAACAAAAGGTTCGGTTCAGTTTATCCATGGCAAACGTAGCTGTTGAACTTTTAAACTCCCCATTTGCTACGAGGAAGTGAATTACATAAAATAATTGAAAATGGAAAATATCAAACAGCTGCAGAGATTCCTTTCGAAACTGAATAGTTAGACGAAATGTTCCGCTTGTTCAAAACGTTAACGTGGCTAAGAACGCTGTACAGTAGTCAGTCTACGCATGTTTGCGCCATAAAATATTGGCACGGTCCCAGTTATCCGAGGGAGAAGAAGTGACAGCCAACATTCACATTCAAGTGACTTGGGACACAATAAATAAAAATGAACGTTACTGCAATACATGCAGTAATATTATAACAACGCGGAACTCCAAGTTGGATGACATTATGGTGTGTGGTGGTATAATAATCCGACTTACCCTTCAAACTCTCGAAGAATGTGAACCTGACAATATCTGCATGCGACAATCCCAAGCTTCGATCAGTCTGTTGGAAAACAAGAGCTTTCATATATCCAAACGGACGCCAATCACACGTATTGTGAGTGGTGCTCGAAATACATTATCGTAAAGCATTTTAAGTTCTGAAACTTTCTGAAATTGTTGACCATTCTCAACAAATAATGCTTAAGTAACGTGCTAGATGCTGAATTTCCATATTTAGAACCGGGGATTTATATGGGTATTTTTTAAAATCAACCTACTATAACCTCTAGTTATCCATGAGGGAATTTAGCGTGTCTCTGTATTAGATTTGTTAAGGCCGCCGGGTCTGTTTTCATCCATGTCTGGAGAAGTGAAATACAATTTCCTTCTTTGCTCTGCTCAAGGATCAAAAATCCCACAAGCGAAGTAATTATGGTGTCTATCTTATTAATCAGTTGAATGCGGTTACGCGTTGAATGGCGAGAAGGGCAGATTTTTCGTTCCTAAGTACGAGAGCGACCGTCTGCCAAACGACAAGTGCATCTGGATGATTCAATTTCCCGTTGGATTCTACGCTTATATCAGATTTTACGGCCTTCAGGTAAGTACCACTCTATCCAATGAGGCCAATGATCCTGATTTTCATAGCAATATTAGGAGTCAAAAACATAGCAACACCGGAAGTCAATGGAGCTAAAAATCAGATTCAACGAATATTTACCTTATGTTGTTACTGACAAAAGGCCATTGGGAAATTGAATAAATCCACACATCCAGTACTTTTATCCTGGTATACAAAAGTGAACATCAGTTTACGGTGTTTATACAGAAGTGCCGTTCTTGCAACGCTTGTGACAGCTTTCAAAATAATATTGCAGATCAAGATTTAAAACACTCAGCAGTTCGACAATGGTTCTGACTATGTCTACCGTGTGCTCCACGGCAAGTTGGGAGGAGACATTTTGACTTGCAAGTGAATTGATTTATAGTGATATAAGTCTTGCGCTGAATATATCGCACTCTCCACCCCTCCCCTACCTGGGCTCGTAGTCAACACAGAGTCAGGAAGACCGGAAGCGTGGGAGGGCGCAGATGAATGGCACGACCGAGCCCGCACCTTAACGCTCCACCCCACACCCCCTGGTCAACACGACAAATGAACAGGTTTTTAAACAGCAACAAAATATTCATTCTTTTACATATTCCGTAGAAAATCACGTCTTCTAACAATTTCATACTTAAATGAAGAGTATAATTCGGTTTTAAAAAAAAACTTTTCTAATTCCCGAAAAATTTTGAACCCGACCTGTTTTTACACTTGCATTCAGAGTTTCAAAACTACAAGCTGTATATTTTCCGTGTACGGAAAATCATGCATTACTCTACGGTGTTAAGTGGAGACCATATGAGGTTCATAAAATTAGGCAGTTGATTTGAGCAATATTGTTAACTTTACAAGCCGCATTCGTAAATGCAGATACATGACGTCTCATGAGCGGCCATTTAACTGTATTAAAAAATCTCACAATTAGAAACTTTTTAAAACCGAATTATACTCTTCCTTTGAGTATGAAATTGGAAGAAGACGTGATTTTCTACCGAATAAGTAAAAGAATGAATATTTTTATGCATGTTTTCCACGAAATATTAGTGAATTTTCAAGGGCATCTAAAATCAATGAGGAAATTGCATACTGCATAAGTAGTCATTTTTTGCAGAGTATAGATCTTGCATGCAGCCGAAAATAAGTTCATTCGAAAGCCGACACCCTGAGGTAACTGGATCATGATAGATTTATGCTGCATCATGATTAGTTTTAAGACACTACTTAATTTATCTTTTCGAAACGAGAACGCATTTCCAAATTTTGATTGACATTTCATGAGTTAGCACATCTACTGTATGTAAGGCGAAGGGGCGATCTCGGGAACTACGGTTTTATTGCACTCGCGTTTCAAAAGCGGACAAGCTGTCACCATTGGAGAGATGTATCTTAGGGCGTCACGAAGAATTTATAAGGGGGTGGGGGAAAGTCAAGTTAAGACGGTTTTAATTATACGGGGAGTGGTTAATCGGCTTTGGCGCGAAATGTTCGCAGAAGCACAGGTGTGGTCGCCAGGGCAGAGTGGGAGAGAGGGGGACTGCTACCAATGTGCTTGTCTCTTGTTGGGGGCCGATATTTAAAAGTTGGTGACCATCCCCAGCATTCGCATTGACGTTCTGGTTTGTTCGCCTTGATTGCATCCCTCCGATCGCGTTTTCCCTCGTCTGCCGAGTACTGTTTGAGGCAGCAGTATTGATGATTGCGCCTTCGTCGGGCCCGATTTGCCGTGTGGATACGTGTAGGTCCGTCGTAATTTCTACCGCAAGATTTCGCGCTTGCGCTCTAATTCGTTAAGCTGCGTCCGGAGGGCTTACTAAGCTGCCGGAAGGGCGACATAACGGTTAATTGAGGTAGTATCCGTGTGCCAGCCTCGAATATTTTCTGGCTACGCGGTCATTGCCTCGATTCAGAATTTTTGAATTCTGGAAGGCGAATCAGTGTCCATAATCCGCGCAGTGTTCTGCCACCAGAGACAATGGGTCCATTCTCCACACTGCCCGCATGTGTTCTTCAACACTGGCTTGTAAATGTTTGCCTGTCCCTCCGACGTAGGCAGCTTCACAAGAGTTACAGTGGAACCGGGAGTTGACATTTGCTGTCTCACCTCGTGGCAGGGGCCTTCGGTCTCATAAAAAGATGTCCAGCTGTTGAGTCTGGTCGATGAGCGATCCCGATCCCCAAGAGTCTTAGGAGGCAGGGAACTGCCTCAGTGACGCTGTCGATATATGGCAGTACACGTCAGACTTTTGGCTGTTTTGTCAACGGATTTTGGCTTGTTTTAGACCGCCTGATGAGTTTTATGAAGTTACGGGAGTCTCCGATGGTCATGAAAAGGCGCTGAAGATAGCGGATGTCTGTCCTTCTGTCATCCGGTTCGCTGCAGTGTGTTTCTGCTCTACCGTAGAGAAGTTGCACACAGCTGCGTTCGTGACATAACGGACGTTTACTGTGATAGCTTAGGACTTGGCCTGTGTTGATAGCCTTCATAAACATCGTCGTTTTTATATTCCTGCTGGGTTTGCGGTGGACAAGAACGTCCAGAAACGGCAGCTGGTTGTTGCTTTCCGCCTCCAAGTTGAATTAGATGTACGGAAAAACGGAATCAAGGACAATCTGAAATTCCTCCATCCTTTCTCGTTTGATGATGACGAAGGTATCGTCGGCGTAACGAGTCCAAAGCTTTGGCCTGTTCTTTCGTGAAAAACAGGCTCCCTAGTTTTTTGCAGAACTGCCTAAGCGATGAAGCCGGAGGGGGGCAATCCCATCGGCGTCCACTTAATCTGATCGTACATGGTCCCCTCGCATGTGAATTACGTTTTCAGGCAGAACTTTAAGAGTTTGACTAGATGTCTCCGCTTCACTGACTTGTCCGTCTCGTCATACTGCCTCTCGAGTAATTCGCTGACCGTTTCGATGGCCAGGTCCTGCGGGATTGAAGTGAAGAGGGGTTGACGTCAGATGGCACCATGACCTCTTCTGCAGTGAATCGCATTCCCCTGAGCCGCACCAGAAACTGAGTAGCTGTGCAAACCGTTGTGGTTTCTCCTGGGGTGGGAGGTCTCAGTTGTCGGAACAGCCATTTAGTCAGGATGAATGTTGGCGCGCCTCGCAGTGACACGACTGGTCGGAGGAGGACGTCGACCTTGTGCACTTTGTGTAGTCCGTAGAAACTTGGTGTGACTGCATCTGTTGGTTTAACGGCCGGTCGTACCGACTTGCTTATAACTTTGTTTTTCTGCATTTCGGCGAAAGTTTTGTCCAACTCTGTCATCAGCCTTCGCATCGGCTCATCATCAATTTGGCGGTAGGCCTGTCGATCATCAAGCAGGCTATTTGCCTTCTGAATGTAGTCGATCTTGTTCAAGACAAAAGTAGAACGCCCTTTGTCTGCTGGAAATACCTCATTTCTAGAATCGGCCCCCAGCTTAGTGAGAGCATCCGGCTTCGCTCTGGTGATAAAGCGCGTTGTTCGTGTGCCATCACCAAGGCGGTTAACTGTTGCCCAACGAGATGTTTTGTTTTCTCGGATTCCTCGGTTTGTTTCATTGTTGATTCCACTGTTGCCGCGAGGTTGACGGGATCAGCGTCCACGTCAGCAATTTTAGTTGTTCAGGAGCCAGTTCTTTGGACTCAATCGATTACCAAAAGGCTTGTTGCTACTGGTGCACGTGAACTAAAATATGACAACTCGGAACCCCTTAACAGCGCTTATTTGTGACCATATTTTATATTTTACAGATCAATCAGACTCAGGACTGCCACTACAATTACTTAGAAATTTTTGATGGTCCTTCGGAGTCCTCACCGCCGCTGTACAAGCTATGCGGAAATGATAGACCGGAACGTCTTTTCTCGACTGGCAACGCGATGATTTTCCGTTTCGTCCTAAATGGTCCAATTGCAAGACAAGGATTCCTAGCCGAATATACGAAAAGTAAGTGCTCGTGAGTTAAAGAAAGTAAACGCTTGCCAAATTTGCGCTGTTCGGCCTTTGCGAGGAAACAGGCGAACAGCACTGATATGTACACTTTTGACATAATGAAAAATTTTATCCGTGTATACGACGAACATTTGACCGTTGCATCAGACGATGTCCACCGTGTGCTCCAAAGCAAGTTGAGACCAGACACTGTGAATTGCACGTGAATTATCAGACTTGTGCTGCATCTATCGCACTCTCCAGCCCTCCCTACCTGGGCTCGGAGTCAAGACACTGGACAGCCGGACACTGACTTCAAGAAGACAGGACATTTTTCTGCCCAAAAGACCTCGAAATCAGGCAACATTTTCGTGCGGAAATCACGCTCTTCTCTGTTTAGTTTCAACGCACGGTGTATGTGGTTAAGTGCTTTGTCCCTAAAAAGTTCTCATTTTTACTGGCTTTGGCAGAGAGCATGTGAATATGGCTGTAGGCATAATTAACATTTTTACGAAATACCTTGTTCAAAATTCCAGTCACCATACTGCTTCTATCACTCCTCTTCAAATGTCACGCAAGAAATCTCCCTGTCCTTGCGTTAATGGTAAGGAGCGGTTATATCTGTGGGAATTTGTCAAATCCCATAGAACATTTCGTTAAGCGAAAACGTAAAGACTGCCCGTAGTCATCTAGGGATATACTAAATAACTTAATTCTTAACTTTCCCAAAACTGTAGGTTTCTCGTATCTACCTTTCTCGATATGCTTATTGATATATTCTGGCGTAGACAAAAAATCTCGGTTGCAATTACACTGGCGTCAACACGCTGGGCACCAAAATTGCTCGTGCTGTCCCATAAAATGCAACAGAATTTGTTATGTTTACCCAGAAGGAGATATGCCGGTCGACCATCCTCCGTAATTTGCTGTTACGCGTACTAGAAGTCGTAACCGACGTCCATCCTGGAGAATCCCTAGTTGACAGACAGCTGAGACAGCTAGGTAGTCTGGACATGAGAAGAAGAAACGATGCAGAAATCAAATCGCTATCCAGAGACTTGTATTCTCACATGCGCTATCATCATGTCTGTGTATTTAGAGGTATAAATGCTTAAAGTTGGTGGTTTTCTTGCTTTTTTTATAGAAGTTGATTGCGGGGGATACCTCAAAGCAGACAAAGGCACATTTACCAGTCCTAAATACCCCAACGGGTCTCCACCAAACCAGAAATGTGATTGGAAGATTGAAGTCCCTATTGGATTCTCCGTTATTCTTTTACTCCATGGTTCTCTAGTAAGTATCAGTGTTATGGTACGGTGCATTTAAAAATTACCAACCTAGTAAAAGCTGTCTTTTCAGGCACTCATGAGCATCAGTTAGCAGTTATTTGGCGACACCGGCTACCATTAACCCCCTAAACTTGACCTCTATCCCAAGCTTAACCCTTAAGTCTAAACGCAGTCTCATATACTGACCCCAATCCCAACTCTAAACGTAACTTCTAACTTCAGCCTGTAACCCCCAAACCTAAACATAGCTCAAGACTGAACGTTAATCCTCATAGTAACACCTGAAATTATGGCGACGTGGCAAGATCAAAATGATGGAGTTTAATTAGGACTTCTCAAACGCTAGAAGTAGGCAGTTCACCGCTTATAGAGATGTGTGTCTCTCTTAACACACAGTAGGTGAGCTAACTCGTGAGATGTCAAATGAAATTGGGGACTGCGTTTTCGTTTCGAAAAGATTAAGTAAATAAAATCGGGGAAGTAATCATCAAGCAGCATTAATTTGTAATAATTCAGTCGCATGAAAATGCCAGATTTCGAACGAACTTCGTTACGGCAGAGTAGAAACGTTATACTCTGTAAAAAATGACTACTTAATTATCAGGCAGTTTTCCCATTCATTTTCAAAGCCCTTAAATATCCAATTATATTTCATGGAAAACATGCATGTTCCTATTCATTCTTTTACTCATTCGGTAGAAAATTACATCTTCTTTCGATTTTATACTGGAAGGAAGGGTATAATTTAGTTTTAAAAATTGTGTTATTGTGAGATTTTCTAATACCGTAAAATGGCCGTTCATCAAACGGCAGGCCTCCGCATTTACCAATGTGACTCGTAAAATCAACAACATGACTCAAATCCACTGCTGAATTTTGTGAACTTCATATGGTATCCACTTAATACCGCAGAAAAAAGTATGGTTTTCCGTACGCGGAAACTAGTTGGTTTGTAGTCTGGAAACCCTGAATGCGAGTGCAAGCGCAAGTCGGGTTTAGAATTATTCGGAAATTGGAACAAGTTTTGAAAATTGAATATTTCCCTGCCTTCGAGTATAAAATTGGTAGAAGATGTAATTTTCTACCGAATGGGTAAAAAAATAAATACTAATATGACATGTTTTCCATGAAATGTAATTGAATCTTTAAGGGAATCAAAAAGACAATGAGAAAACTGCTTGTTATTTAAACAGTCATTTTTTACGGAGGATAGCTTTTGCATGCTGCTGAAACGAAGTTCGTTCGAAAGCCGGCATCCTGGGGTGACTGGAATATTACAGAATTATGCTGCCTGATCATTAGTTCTTCAATTCTACTTAATTAATATTTTCGTAAAGAACACGCATTTCCAAATTTACATTGACATCTCATGTGATAGCTCACATACTGCACTGTCCAATGACAGATACTAGGCTCTCAAGGATTGCGCAGACTCGAATCCCACAAAGTGGAGAGCGCCATGGAGGTAGCATTCAGAAGCAGCCATTGAGCCTGGCCGTCCGTCCTCCAGCCGGGCATCCCACATACACACACCGTACTGGTCACGAGCACCGAGTTATCCTGTCACAAGTCAACTTGCCACGGCGAGATTTTTAGTGCATCGTGGCAGGTAAGTCCGATTTACCCTATTGAGAAATGGGCTGATGTTTCCTGTGATGGAGCCCCCATAGTCGACCTTATCTCCTCCGTCCCCACCCATGCACCAGTCTACCGTCCGAGCTGGTATGCCATCTGGTGCAGGGATTGGACACAATCATTGGTTTAATGTGGAGCCTTCGCCTAAGTGTGCTGCCACTCACTCAAATGGGATATTCTGTGGGTTGCGCGGTCCCCACGCTGCCTGCTATGCTGCCCCACACCTGGTCCTCGTTTTGTTCCATTGCCTATACAGTGCTGTCCGTTGCGATGTCAAGACAACTGTTAGCAGCTGCAATTTGGCAGCAGAAAAGGAATGGATGCTTGTGAGTCTAAGTCGGCATTTCTGTACCAGGTTATGCACGGTGGATTCAGTGAAGGTATGATGAAGTGTCTTGCTGTCTCGTTTTGTGATTCTAACTAGGAATATTTCTGCTCTGGTGGTATAATATAATAATCACCGAATCCCATATTTTTTTTAGAATCGTGAGAAAGTGATCTGCCGGTACGAGTACATAGAATTATACGATGGTCCCTCGAGGTCTTCACCTTTGCTGCGAAAACTATGCGGAGATGATGTACCGACGACAATAGGATCGACGAATAACACGATGATCGTGCGCTTCGTCAGCGGAAGATATCCAGGAAGACGGGCACTTCACGGAGAGTTTAGGAAAGGTAAGTCCTCCTTGTCTGCATGGATAATACATAATACAATAACTTACTCTTCGGCTAGTGCGGCATGATACATATTTTAGCACACCATCAACGCATACGCGTTCAGAAATTCATAATGCAAACGCCTAATTGTCGAGTTTGCTAAGCTCTTAATATTATTGCGTGATGTCTTCCAATTTAGAAATGAGGAAAGTATGTACGTATGTATGAAAATATCGTCCTCTTGAAATCCATTTCCGGATAGTAACCTTCAGTGACTAAACTCACGAAGTACTTACTCACGAATTAGTGCAACAAAATCTCAGGATATTGCATTTACACCAGGACAAAGGCTTCTGAGTGTACATCATTCGGACAGCATGTAACACCTCATTCGTGAGAAGTTGACTATTTGTGCAGTTTGCATCTGTTCGTCACTTTTCTATACCATTAATATTTTAAATATGTTTTCTACAAATCATGTTTGAAAATATCATTTCTCATGCTTATTTTGTAGCAACTTACGTAGTACATGAACTTTACACTCAATGAAAATGTCTCTTTGGTTTTAAAAAGCTTCTAATCATAGCGCTATCACTGGGACGGCAGCGTTATTAGCGTGAGCTTTCGAACCCGAGCAGGAATTTAGCATCAGAGACCATTGCAGTGCAACAACGTTTAAACATAGAACACTCAGACTTGTCCCGGCTTTAGAAGCTTTGGCGCACTCTCCGATCGTCCTGTGGGGATGGAGGGGGGAAGGGAATAAGTCAATCAATAGGTCTGCTTTGCGCCGCCTGCCCAAAATAGTTTCGCAGCGTGGTGACTCCGTTTGGCCTAAAGACACTGGGTCGCCTCTCGCATTTATGCTCGAGTATTCACGAGTTGATACGTCTTCCTTTTTCTAATTACAACGCATGACCGATCTCATGAAATGTGGGCTGAACTTCTGGAATTCGTTTTCGATTAGCAAGGATTACTTAGGGGGGGGGGATTGTCATACTGACTAGCATGCGGCATAATCCTTAAGCATTTCGGACTCGCCAGACTGTTAGATTTTGGAGGTACTCCTTGTTGACGTCATGCAGAAACCGCACATGGTATAAAAATGACTACTTAAGTAGCATTCATCCTTCCTGTGGATTTTTGGTGTTCTTATAAATTAAAATATATTATAAAGAAAACATGACCGAAAAAGTTTTCATTTTATCATTTGGTAGACAATACCATTGTCATTGCATTTTATTTACAAAGGAGATGTATATTTGGGTTTTAAAATACTTTCCCGAATCCCGGAAATGTTTGAGCCTAATCTGAAATTGCATCAGCGTTCAGTGATTTCAAAAAATATTCGGGAATTAGGAAACTATTTTAAAACCCAAATATGCACTTTTTTGTTCATAAAGTGCAAAGACAATGTTATTGTCTACCAATTGAGCAAGAGAAAACTTTTTCGTTCAGGCTTTCAATATAACGTATTCAAATTTATGAGACCACAGAAATCCATGGGAAAAATGCATGCTACTTAAGTAGTCATTTTTATACCAAGAACGGTTTTTGCATTAGATAAATAAGGAGTGCCTCCAAAAGCGGACATTCAGACAAGTCCGAAATGCTATAGGATTAGGTCGTATGCTTATCAATATGACAACCCCCCTAAACAAAATCTTGCTAATCGAAAACGAATTCCAGAATTTCGACCAACATTTCATGAGATCGGTCATTCACTGGATGTCCAGAGGGACCATCGGCAGACGTTCATTTTAAGTGGTCTTAATGAGCATATTATGATACTTTTTAATCAACGACGAATAAAAAAGGCGGCTTGTTTATATGTAGACGTTTTGGTCCACCCTGTGTACTTCTGGGTACGGTTCTATCATTAAGTATTCGCCGCAGACTAACCTTACTAAAATGTCGATGTGGTAGGTGTCCAATGACACAACGTGCGTTGCCAAAACAAGCAAAGATGCGAGGTCCAGGAACCAATTAATGCGAAATAGAAGCGATCGCCGGAATAAGAGCTTTATGCGTCTGACGTTTCCTATTCTCACGTTCGCTAATTATCAGAGACAGTGATAGAAACGGGTGATTCATGCACAGGAAGTTGCAGCATTTATAGGACGCGGTCGCTATGTGACCGTATACCGATGATAATTAACCGCTGTCCCCTTTATCAATAATCGCTCCCCGCTGGTGGGCTAATTGCTTAATGGCCAGTTGTTACTTGCTGAGGTCTAATCACCCATGTTGGATACTGGCGTGATAATTGTTTGGCCATCTGGCTCAATGGCCTTGGCCGAGTAGTTAGAGGCGTGGAGTTTTAACTAGCAGGTCGCTAGTTCGACCCTCGAGTTTTCACCACTTCGGGGTTGGGTATGACTGACTGACGACGGTTAGTAAGCCAGAAATGTATGTTCCAGTCTCCGTTGTCTTTGTCGGTAAGGTCATTCTGCCTATATCATAGGCCGAGAGAGCCCATAAGAAATAACTCAACGAGTGAGTTCCCTAAGAGCGATCGGTTAGCGCCCGCTACCGTTGTTCGCATATACACATAAACATATACTCATATATATATACAGGCAGCCAGTAGTATAGAACTGTGCAATGATTTACCGTACTAACAACATAGGTATTAGCTAAAAGCCCAGACACGCGTGTTTCGCCTATCTTATGCCGCTGCCTGACGCAGCTGCGAGGGGTTCGGCTTTCCCTGTTTTTTCAGTATTTATAAGTGTGGCGCGATACCAAACGCACCTCCGACGATGGAAGATTGTATGTTTTTGAAACGTCAAAACAGTAAAAATATTGTTCCCGAGATCGCCTTTTCTTCTTATATATATATATATATGAGAAGAAAAGGCGATCTCGGGAACCATTGTTTTACCGTCCTGACGTTTCAAAAGCATATAAGCTTCCATCGTCGGAGGTGAGTGTGGTATCGCGCCTCACAGTATTTATAGATGGGTGACAGTCATGTCAAAACGGGTTTTCTTACATATGAAGTCAGGGCGGCAGGGGGGAAGGGGCGGGGGGAGTCCTAGAGCGTCTTTTCGCCGGATGAGGGGGTGGTGGATCAGCTTTAGTGGTCATCAGCCGCATGCACACATGAACTGTGGCGGGCGGGGGGGGGGAGGGAGGTAGGGTGACGGAATGTACTCAACCTACATCGGAGGCCGGCGTTGAGACGTTGGTGGTCGTCGTTCGTACCTTCATTGAGCGTAGCTGTCGTCCAAGCCTGGCAATCTTGTTTACGCCGCAACGACTGGCCGATATAGATATAGATATATAGATAGATATAGATATATATTGAAAATAAGTAAGATTCTTTGGGAAGGGAATAAACTTTAATGAGTAAATTTTCGAGTCTGGTTCCCCAGCTCGTCGTCAGACTTTTGGGCAATGTACAAAAACAGTTAACTATTTAACCGTGTCAAACAAGTGATTCTATGGTTGGCCGAAGTCTGCGCCAATGCGCGTCAACGATTTCGTCATCCCCTCGGCATTGGCTGCGCTCGCTTCCATTTGTCCTTGAGAAATTTGTATGTGGCATCTAGATCGATATGCCGATTGATGCATGCCTCATCTGAGTGCCTTGCTTCCAGGAATTCGCATGAAACATGAGTTTAAACAGAAAGGTATTTCGAAGACAGCGGCCACCCAAGCACCAAAAACGTTCACCTGGCGGACCCTCCCATACATCAAAAATGTATCTGAACTCGTCGAAAGACAACTGAAAAAGCACCAGATACACGTAGCACACCAACCTACAACCACCTTGCGTACAGAGCTTGTACACCCTAAGGACAGGGTTGGCTATCTTGATAGGAAAGGTGTTGTCTACAAGATACCATGTTCCAGTTGTGATGCCGTGTATTGTGGCCAAACTGGGAAATCCCCCTCTTCCCGCATACATGAGCATCAGTTAGCGGTGAGGAAACGAGATCATTTATCCCAGGTGGCTATGCACACACTGGACACCGGACACAAATTTGCATGGGAGAACACCCGCATTGTTGGCGCCTGCCCAATAAGGAAAGGCCGCGAATTCCTGGAAGCAATGCACTCAGATGAGGCATGCATCAATCGGCATATCGATCTAGATGCCACATACAAATTTCTCAAGGACAAATGGAAGCGAGCGCAGCCAATGCCGAGGGGATGACGAAATCGTTGACGCGCATTGGCGCAGACTTCGGCCAACCATAGAATCACTTGTTTGACACGGTTAAATAGTTAACTGTTTTTGTACATTGCCCAAAAGTCTGACGACGAGCTGGGGAACCAGACTCGAAAATTTACTCATTAAAGTTTATTCCCTTCCTAAAGAATCTTACTTATTTTCAATTAAATTTCTTGGGATGCCCGTTTTCCAGCACATATATATATATATATATATATATATATTCCGAATGATAGAGAACACGCGCGGCCCAGGTAATTGAATAGAAGAAGATGGGAAGGCGATCGCTGGGACCAATTGTTTATTTATCCGACGTTTCGAACTCTCACGCGAGCCCATCGTCAAGGAATGATAAATTGTACAACTCATCGTGTATTTAGCTCACCTCTGCCGGGGGTGACCTCTAGCTGCGCTGCTGATTTGCTCTCGCAGTGCTTGATAGGCGATTGGCAGATCGATATGTCGATTAATCGAGTCCTCGGTTGACTGCCATGCTTCCTGCAGGAGGCGAGCAACTCGGTCGTCCGACTGGCCCAATATTCTCACGCACTTAAAGTCGAAGCCGTGTCCTGGCGTGGAGGCGTGGGCGGCTACCAAGGAGAGTTTGTCCTTCCGTCTCACAGCCAACTCGTGTTCGTGCAATCTCGTGCGTACTTGTTTGCCGGTTTCGCCAACATAATTGGCTTGACCACAATTGCAGTCTATCCGGTAAATGACCCCCGATTTCTGGTTGATGGGAATCGGGTCCTTAGGGTGCATGAGTTGCCGGCGTATTGTTGCCTCAGGTCTGTGAGCGATACCGATCTCAAATTCGCTCATCAGTCTAACGAATTCTTCTGACACACCGGCTATGTAAGGCACTGCGCGCCAACATTTCGGTTTTGGTTGTCCCTTCGGTTGTCTTCCCCGGGTTTCTCGTCTGCACTTTTCGACAAAATTCCCAGGGTAGCCGTTCACTGTGAAGAGTTTCCGCAGGAACTGGACCTCAGCCTTCTTGTCGGCTGGCTCGGTGCAATGGGTTTCTACGCGCCGGTAGAGTGTTCTCACGCAGCTGCGTTTGTGCGAGAGAGGGTGGTTGCTAAGAAAGCTTAGAATACGGGAGGTATTCGTTGCCTTCCGGTAAACCGTTGTCTTTAATGCACCATCACCTTTTCTCTGAACTAGTACGTCCAGAAACGGCAACTGGCAATCTTTTTCTTCCTCCATCGTGAACTGGATGTCTGGGAAGATCGAGTTGAGGTGTTGCGTGAATTCCCCAATCTTGTCCCGATTGATGATGACAAATGTGTCATCGACATACCGTACCCACAGTCGTGGTCGATAGTGGTCGAAAGCCAGTGCCTCGAGTCGCTGTAACACTGCCTCAGCAATCAAGCTGGATAACGGTGAGCCCATGGGTGTACCTTTAACTTGTTCGTACACAGCTCCGTTGAAGGTGAAGAAAGTCTTCAAGCAGTGCTTCAGGAGATCAATAAGGTGTTTTATCTTCAGTTTCTTGTCCGTTTCGTCATATTGTTCTTCCAACAAGGTTTGCAGGGTTTCAACCGCCAGGTGCTGTGGGATGGAAGTGAAAAGTGATATCACGTCGAAAGAAACCATCACTTCGTCATCTGTGAGTCGTATACCTTGCAGCTTTTCGATGAATCTTTCGGCTGAGTGGACGCTTGTTTCAGAACCCTGGGTTAGGAATTTCAGACGCTGGAACAGCCACTTGGCAAGGCCAAACGTTGGGGTGCCTCTTAGAGAAACAATCGGCCGTAGGGGAGTTCCTGGTTTATGGACCTTGGGCAGACCATAGAATCTCGCGATCGCTGAATCCTTTGGTTTCACGAACATCAACTTGCAGTTAAGAGGCGAGACCACTTGTCTCAAATGGCCATGCACATTCTTGATACTGGGCACAATTTCGCATGGGACAAAACTTGCATCGTCGGAGTTTGCCCATCTAAAAAAGGCCGAGAGTTTCTTGAAGCCATGCACTCCGATGAGTCATGTATCAACAGGCATATCGAGTTAGATGCCACGTACAAGAATCTCAGAGAAAAGTGGAAGAAACGAAAGCCGATCAATACGGACTGACACATACGACGGCAGCTTACTAGCTGAGGCACCAAATGAGTATTGATTTTGTTGCACGTTTGAAATTTTAATTGTTTTCAGCACATTTACTCTAGTCTGACGACGACACGGGGAACCGACGTCGAAAATTTACTCAATAAGGTTTTCTCCCTCTCCCAAAGATCGTTTTTGATTTCAATTTATATTTCTTGGGATGCCTGCGTTCCAATATATATATATATATATATATATATATATATATATATATAAGGGGAAGTCGAATATGTGTTTTGGCAATGTAAGTTTACTGTCCAAATTTTTGACAACGGTTTCCAAGGTCGTCGTCGGGCTCAGACGGAGAGCAAATGCGCATACACAGTTAAAATCTTAAGTGCACTGAAAAAATCGATAATCGCATGACGTTCGTGCCAGTAAATGGTCGTCGTGCGTGTCAGTCCGTTTTGATTGGCTCTCGCTTCTTCAATCTCTCCTTAAGATTTCTTTACGCGTTATCTAACTCTATGTGCCGGATGATGCATGATTCGTCCGAGCGCATGGCCTCAAGGAAATCTCGGTATTTCTTCGAGGGGCACACAGCGACAATGCGGGTTTTCTCCCAAGCGAAATTGTGCCCGGTGTCCAGGGTAGGCGTGACTACTTGAAATAGGTAGTCTCATCTCTTCACTGCCAACTGGTGTTCGTGAATGCGTGTAGAGGCGCATTTTCCAGCTAGGCCGCAATAGACGGCATCACATGCATCAGAAGTGATTTTGTAAACGACTTCTTTTTTGTCATGATAACTAACCCTGTCTTTTGGGCGCTTGGGCTGAATACGCAAAGTAATCCTCGGTCGGTGAGCCACCTGAATTTGGTGTTTCTTTGAATGTCTTTTAACAACAAAATACGCATTTTAATGTTAGGATGTGGTCGCCAAGTTTTTAGTTCGGGCTTCTGATATGTATTGCCTGGCTCCTTTCTCTTTGACTCTTTCTGCCTTCTGCATCGGCGCGCAAAATCTCTAGAGTACCCATTCCGCGAATGCAATTCACACAAGAATTTTAATTTGTGTTGATTGCATTCTTCATCAAAACAACTTGTTTTGCTCGATTAAGCAGAATTTTGACAGCACCTCCATTGTGAGAGGTTGGCTGATTACTCTCGGAATGAAGAATGATTGCCGCATAAGTGTCTTTACGGTAAACTGAGTTACGTATTATTCCGTCGGTTTTTCGTTGTACGGGAATATCCAGGAGAGGCTGTTTACTGTCGACTTCCTTCTCGAGTGTGAACGTAATCCCCAGAATTGTTGGGTTTATATTGTTGTGTAGCTCTTCCAATTGGTCCCTTTAAAAGGCAACAAATGCGTCATTTACCTATCGCCGTCACAATTTAGGTTTAACTGATGGAAGAGCCGCAGGTTCTAGTTTCTGCATTGTGACTTCGGCGAGAAAACCTGAAATTGGGGATCACACAGGAGATCCTTTCAGTTGTTGGTAGTACTGTTGGTTGAATGAGAAGTTGGTTTCAAAGCGCAGGTCTATAAGTTCGAGCACGGCAGTTGCTGGACCGTCTTTATCATAGGACATCCATAGTTTTTCTGTGCAACGTTTTGCTACATATGGAGGTATCGATGTGAAAAGGGACACGACCACGAGGAAACCATTATGTTATCTGCAGAAATTGTGATACCTTTTTATTTCATATTAACCCAACTGTGAAAAACTCGGCGTCCCGGTGGGATTCGAACCCACGCAGTAAGGGGAAGGCTTTAGCGCAGCCAACGCTCTAACCACCTGAGCTACGAGGCCCCGCCGGACGACGCGAGTTTAATCACATTTGGGTCAAGTTACCCGCCCAACGTACTGCAACGTCTGGAATCCACCAAATCTGACACAGTAAGTTGACTGCCCAAGCAGGATATCCTAAGTAATTCACCTAGAATCCACCAGATGACTACCAGGCTCGCGTAATTCATTGACATTTTGGCAGATTTCGAATAATTCATATTGACCCAACTGTGACCCAACCTTTTTATTTCTCTAAAAACTCAGATGAGTCCTCAGTGGAAGTTTCGCATTCCTTCGTAAGCGCAGTAATTTTGCGAACGAACTACTTGGACCTTTTGTAGTTTTGAGCCCCGATGAATGATGCAATGGGACATCCGTCTTGTGGTGTTAAGGGAATCCAAACATCTTCGCGATTGTCGGTTCATTTTGTCGCAGGGTTTTCGCCATATCTCCTGATAGTTTCTTTTCCCTGTAAGACGCACCAGCACTTTATCAATGAATGAAAGCTCGGCTTTGGGAGTGTTCGCTGAAAGTGGTTTATAGATGGATACATCTTCTAAGAATAACATCATCTTACTATAGTAGTCCACTCTATTCAAAATTGCGGCTACACCGCCCTTGTCCACCGGGAGAATGATTATATTTTTGTCAATTCGTAGACTCTTAAAGGCACTTTATTCTTCATTTGATAGTACTGAAAAATAACTCCGATCTTTTAATGCTTGTAAAGTGCTGTTTGGGATGATAAACCGTTCGTCTTTCGTAAGGTTTGCTGTCAAAATTATGGATTCTAAACTCGCGGGGAAGTTCAAGTATTTTGAGTCGGAAAGACTGTGCCTTAGCCCCCTGGAAAGCACACTCTATTCTGTCGTTTTTAGCGTTCTTCCGGATATATTTGCGACCTTCTTTTGAAGCTTCTGATCTGCATCGGTCTGTTGTAAGATAGCCATCCGCTTTCTGTCTCAAATGCCCCTCTGCTTTTGTCATTCGAGCTCAAAGACACGCGTAGTTGTGTTGCTTAGAGATTCAAATCAGTGTAAAGGAAGTTGATCACGGTAAAATTGCATGTGTTGCCCATTAGAAGTGTGTAGCGGGCATCGATTATGAACGCCTTAAGCCTTCTTCTGCCTTAGTGAGATGCAATTCGATATTTCCACAAGTAACTTCCTTTTTCAATGCACATATTGAAGTTCGACTTTTTTTTCTTGGGATGCTTATTTTCCAATGTGTATATAAATGTTTTATCGAGTTGCAATCATCTGAACATGCGATTGTTTTCGTCGGAAATACGTCTTTACTTTTGAATTCTAGGGATAGCTGATTGAATTTCGGTAGACTTTCGTATGCTTAAAACACTCCTAAACGGGCTTTGATGTTTATTTTCTAAGTGCTGCTCGAACGATTTTTCGCAACATTTAATATGGAACGAGAAAATCGTCCTGTTTGATTATTACTACCCACAGGATCAGAAGGACATTAATCTGCAATTTTACCGATTTCTTTTACCTTATCAGCCGCATGCGGTGGCAAGCTCATTGCAGATGAAGACTACATTACGATCCCAAGATATCCAAGCAATCGTCTGCCAAATAATGAGTGCACTTGGAATATTGAAGTTCCCGTCGGCTTCCGCATTGCACTCACATGGGCAACATCAGGAGTAAGTGCATGTGTGACTCTTGTATTCATACCTTCTGATTCTGATAAAAGTGTGTTCAATCGAAATAATGTAACCCCAAAAGCCACCGGTCACATTAACATATAATGGTACTGCATACACTTACAGTGCAAAGGGCATCGCCAACATGCAGTATATCACGCATCCAGTGGTTCGGTCAGAAATGGCTGCAATTTGTAAACATTAGTTTACAATGTACAAAAAGCCCACCCATACACAAAAAAACTAAAAAAATATGAAAACGCAAATAGAATGGTGTCAAAAAAACATACAATTCGTGCATATAAATGAGAACTGTCCAAACGAAAATAATTCATCTTATTTAAAAAAGTATTACCTGTATGTGTTAGCAGTGTGCATGAAGAGAACGAAATCGCACAGATATGCTAATCTGAATTCTAGAAATCAATACAGCTATTGGCTCTTTACAAATAACCTGTTTATTAGCAAACTGATTCCCGCGGTTAGAATCATACAAAAAAAACAATTTTCAAATTCAATAAGATCTGTTTAATAGAACCGTCATGCGCACAAAAAAGGATACTTTTTTGAGCAAGATGCGCAACGTGTATTCGAATCCTATCCAGCACATTTCACAATATTGCAGGTAGTCCGAACCCAGGACACACAATCAGTTTATATCGAAGCAGGTTTGCGCGGCATCTTTCGCAATCCCTCTTTCCTCCACAACATTGTCCAGACACCAAGTCAATATCAGCATGAGTGGTAGTTTATGACTAAAATATCCCAGCAGTCTGTCAAGACACCGGACGGGAGAGGTGTAATGGTGGTCGGACATTTCGAGTAGTTGTTTCGTGCACCCATTTTCAGAGACTGAGAAGTTATGCGCACAGCTCTCCTTCTATGGCGCAATTTGTTTGATGCATGGCCAGCCAATGGTGCCTCTGTGGCTGCATCCGATTCGCATGCCACCGTGACCTGAATGCCCGGCGACCTAGTTAGTGGGCCAAAGTGAGTGTAACTCAGATCTGATATACTTACGTGAGAATGTCATGACGGCCGCACTGATA